TATTTGCGGGCAGATGACTTGTCGGTGCCTGGGATGCAAATAGATTAATGGCAAGCTTAAACTATTAAACAAGCACATTTCGTGATTAATTGTTAGGAATGAAAATGAAAGTGGCAATGAACAGCGTTAGGCAGAGTTTCAGATAAAACAACCAATTTTTAACAAGTTTAAAATAAGGACAAAACACATCAAGCCAAACACGTAAGCACATAAACACGGAAATGCAAACTCGCACACTTGGGATCTTTGATGCAACACACTTAACGTCTGAGCTGCCACGGAGATAGGCTTTGATTTAACTTTCAATTTGACTATTCTAATCAAGTTACTCGTTTCGAGGGGCCAGATACATATATTTCACCAAAAAGGTACACTAATCATAGGCGCGGCCTCAAACAGTTCCAAAATATTCATAAATATAACTAGACGGAGTGGATCACTGTTAGCTTGAAAAGTTTGGTTAGAAAGACTTGTAAATTGGTCTAACTGAAGACCGAAAATGACTGTTGACACGCTCGTGGAGGCCCTCGGGGTACCGTCCTGAGGCTGATAAATCTGTACTGATTCCTCGTCCGGCTCGCCATGAAAGACACTTTAAAGGCTGGAAACTAACTCTTAATAAAATTCGTCTAGCGCTAAGCCAAGAATGGTGCCTGCCTAGGCCATGTCCTTCACCACGAAAAAGACAACGGTTCAGTACAAATGGATAAAGGTACCGTGATTAGGCGCCAAAGAGGTCGCCACACAAGCCAAGTCATGACTCCAGCCAAATTATGCCTTGACTTCCGATGGACCCAATTCAGGAATCCATCCAGCCAAGCTTTCGAGCGAAACGAAAAGTCAGATGACATGAACTCATTAAGGGAATCTCCGAACCCCGGTTTCTTTCATATATATATATATATATGTAGATATAGATATACAGATAGAATGCCCCCAAAACTGCCGTAAGAGCATACTTATTGAGAAAAAATACATTTACTCGCTTTTCTGTTGCCTTAGATGCTCTCACTTAAGAGTATAATTTCTTTAAATTTGTTTCCAGTAGATTAATTAATATAACAACTTTGTCGAGTGACCAACCACAGTCCCAATAAAAATACATTTAATGAAAAAACCGACATTTTGGTCAAGGAGAATGCTTATAATTGAATAATGATCAATTAAAAAATATATATATATGTGTTTATAGGAAAAAACGTAAGTCGTAAAAGCAGCGAGCCATAATGAGAACATGCGAATGTAACCGTGGAGCAGGTAGATTAGCCAGACGGTTAGTAGAAATAAAAGAAATGAGCATACAAACCACTTTAAGTGGCTTCTAGTTTCTGTTAGTTGTGTGCTGCTTCTTCTTAAAGGACTAATCTCTCCCGAACCGAAATGAGTACGTCTCGATATCTGTGCTACCACTGACAGGTACCGCACACATACACATACACACACACGCACATATATACACACATGGGCACACACAAAGAACACATCTCGTAACCTGAGAGGCATAGCATCATTCCTGCACACCACATCGTGCTGCAAAGCACCTGGGCGTTGACCCGAAAAGGGGTATGCTAACCTCTCCGCCAATAGAGAGACCAAAGCCAATTGTGAATGGGACGGCCTTCAATACAAAATAGCCGCATATAAATTGCCCGGTTTGAAAGCATGTGAAGAAGTCTCGCCGACATCGCATATAGCTTTGACAAAGGAAACGACAGACAACCAGAAGCTCATGGTTACATGAAAGATTTGTAACAATGAGGACGATATTAACAATGTAGCCTGTTGGAAACCAAGGGAAAAGTAGGCCAAATGAACAAAACTCAGGCCAAAACTGCTCCACACGATAGGCATAGGAGTGGACGCCTAGAGAACTGGAGATACAGAAACACCTCTGAAAGAAAAGAGCCAATGAGCAAGTCAGTGAATATGGCTTCATGGAAATGTTGCAGCCCTGAGGCCTGAATAATATAAAACAAAGGTAGAAGGGACCACAGCATCTCAGTTGTAGGCTGATAAAATACTAACTTGCTTGGATTTTGTTTAAGTAATCATAATTCACTAGGAGGCTGTGTCTTCTGGAGCAATAATGAGCAAAGAATAGTAATGAGGTTGAGCTGAAGAAAAGAAACACAAATATCTACGCTATAAAACCCGGGTTCAGATTGGCCACGTGTCACAAGTCCTTCGAGTTGAAAACTCGCGTCCACAGAACAAGGAACGGCATTTAAATAGGATAATCCCACTAAATGGAGAAACTTTAATGTATGTCGGATATAAATTTACATGCAAATTTCGAGAATTGACTTAAGAATAGATCATCTAAATTACCTTTCTAAACCTTATATCATAAAAATAAAATTCGTCAGTATCAAGCAGAAGATTATTGTGAAAAATAAGGGCTGCAATAGTATTTATGCGTGAGCAACTAGGATGAATCTCCGAATATGGAAAAGTTTCAATAAAATATTCCGATGAATTTGGTAGGCTAGTAGATTGGCTGATGAAGTAAAAAAGAGAAATGTGCTCTTAAGCTTCGAATTTTTGTCGAAGTACTTTAATATTCTGATAAACAGAGCAACACAAGTTTTGGAGCCTACTTTGGATCAGCAGCCAGAGAGAATTGTGAATAAAAAAATTAAGCAAGGTAAAGCAAAAAATGGGCAAAGTTCACCTTTGACGATAGAATAAGGCATATGCTTATTTCGGCCAATAACTGCATTCTTCAAAATATGTTTGTCTCATTTAAGAAGTCCTTCTGGTTAATAATCTGGCGTTTAGGAAAAAGGACATATTCTTGCTGTTTGGCGGTGCTGCACCAGAGCTAGAGCAATAGCTAAAGTTGATGGATAGACTAAACGAACTAGTGAGTATAGACTAATAAAATAGGGTGTCCTAATTAGTAAATTGGAAGAAAATTGAGTAATGAAGCGAATAAAAACACAGGAACATAACTTTCTTTACTAATCTTCTTTCCTACCATATATTTTAATAATAAGAAGTCTGTATGTAGCAGGCAAAAATCAAAGGGTCAGGAAATTAAAAGATTAAACAATATGAATTTTTATGAAAACTACTCATTGGGTAGTGAGAAACAGCCATTTATGACTGAACATAAAGTTCATAATATTACTTATTTCTCGTCTATAAGTAGGTTTTAGATATTACCAGCAGATCATATATATGAGATATGTTCACCGTATTTCGTTAAGTAACTAAGTGACTGGTAGTTAAATTTTCTTATAATCATATAAATATATCTTACGGTATCGTTGAATTTTGCATAGCCTCGTTTCCTAAAAGATTATTCTCATCCAGAGTTGACCTATGCGAGGTCTCTTTGTATGAGAATAACTTTTTTGGAAGCAAGGCTATGTCAAAATTTAACGTAAACTTGCCACCAACTTGCTACTACTACTTACTACTTATATTATTTTGGGCAAATTCAACTGCCAGTCCTTCATTAGGTTAACAAAATAGGGTGAACACACCTGATATTACTGTTCTGTCCACTTTCGAAGAATATAAGTTCAATACTGAATAAGTGCGGCAATGGAAAATGTATAAGGAGAGCGTAAAACATGCTTTAGCTATATTGAAAGTTGGTAGAGTTTTCGACTTGAATAAGAACTGAAGTCAACATGGGTCCCATAAGGGCAGATGGTTGAATGTTCCCACAATGAAAAAACCTTTTAATTTGAAAGTTGTGCTTCTCTTTTAACTATTCAAACATAATATGGCCTATCTAAACACATAATAGACTGATAAAAAGCCAAAATGGTCGCATCCAAACAAAGGCCGGGATATATGGAAGCTAAGTCATCACTAAGCCACATTTATTTCACGTCGTACAAAACACCAGAAACAACACCAAATAGTGAATATTCGAAATTGTCATAAAAGCAATCTTTTGAGCCTGAACGATCTGTAAACAATGTCTCATAGTAACGGTTGTGCGAATAAAGATTGGGCCTTTGCTGATGAAATAATTCTGATTAGGAACAACCCGGCAGGCCATGTAAGGCAAGCTCGTCGTTAAAAAAGATATATTGAGGATATTTAAATGGGTGATAGACTGAGATAATGTCGAGAGCTTTAACTATATTCGTCATATAATTTCAGATGAAAGTGATAAGCCAATTAGGTATATTTATAACGCTTTAATTGGAGATAAATAAAACACAGGCAAGTGAGGGAATTTCAAATAAGAACATAGTCGGCATAGATCAGTTAAGGCGAGTGGAGTGGAGTATTTTCCATAATTAAGTGAGTAAGCCTCACGAAACCCGTGAATTTCATGTAGCTTTGATTCCCAAAAAATCTTTTCTCACCAAGGCTGTAAGGCAGTTCTGTCCTCGCCCCATCGTCTCATCAGCACCTTCGACTGGATTCGAGCCCGAAAAATGTGCACAAAGTGGAAACACACTACCGGGCTGCCAGACAGGAAGGGGCACCAATGGGTCACAGGGTAAATTAAGCCTCGTTTATAGTGGGATTGACCAGTGAGCATTTCGCATGTCCACTTTATAATTAATGACGATATTTATATTCCAGTAATTCGTGAAAAAGAACATATCCTTTATTTGTAACTAGATTATATATATGAAAGGTGATGAAAGTGTGGCATTTGAATTTTATCGCAATCATGGTTCCGTTAAATTTCACATAGCCTTGCTTCCCAAAGGGATTGTCATCCAGGATGGACTCCAGGCTCGAAATAAAAATAAGTAATGCTGCATATTGCTTTAGAAAATACAACTTTGCCTCATCGACAAATCCACCACAGAATGTGATATGGGAAAATGCCTGGTCTTGATTAAAATTCACATCTGCCCTGTGACTCAATGACGCTCGTGTGGGGACTATACACTACACTGTCATGATTCGAGTCCCGCTAGGGCTATTGCTAAGACCTATGCGGGCTCGAAACTGCAGTCCGCTCTGGATGAGAATACCTTTTGGGCGGCAAGGCTATTCGAAATGTAATGAAAACTCAAGGTCCACTCATATGATTGTGGGAAAATTTAACTGCCCGTCCGTCATTGTCTTAAATGAACACATCCCATATATATGAAATTCAATTGCACCGTGAGGCCAACTAGTCATTTTGTTGTGTGAAACTCTAATATCAATCCTCTATTCGTATTAAGCCGCCTAAGCTGGCCCGGATCCCTATACGAAGGGCTTAGATCTAAAAATGAGTGGACGTAAACCGGCTATCAGCATAGAACAAGATATGCTAAATGACAAATAGAATGTTTTGATCTTGATAAGATTAATATTTAAGAAATGCTGAAAATAGCATTCAAACGAAATAGACTTAGGTGGC